CTCTTTCCTGCCATGGCAGGGGGTCGGACTAGATGATCTGCTCAGGTCCCTTCCGACCCTAGAAACTATGAAACTATGAAGTGGAAGGGGCAGTGCATAAAGGGTAGCACAGGGCACTCTGGGGCTGTGGTGAGGTATCTGGGGGACACACATATTGGGGACCAGGAAGCAGTTCTGTTTGTGGCCAAGCTAGGAGGGGGGTAACAACTGTATTCCCCTGGCACTAGGTGCCTGCTCCACCCTGGAGTTGCTGTCAATGCCCTGCCCCCAACTCAATTGTACTTGTTTTTGCTTAGATCTTCAACAGGAGAACATAGCCCAAGGCCCCTAGTACTAGGGCTGTGCGAAATGGCACTGTTCCGTTTCGCCTTGAGGTTACGATCGAACAGCGTTTCGTATCGAATTTCATTTTGATTTGAAACAGCTGTTCCGTTTTGCTTCGTCGAAACAGTAAGGCTGTTTCAACTCTGTTTCAGCATTTCACTAGATCAGCTGGGGCAGGCGAGTCAGCCCAACTGGACTGACTTCCCATCCCCAGTGCTGTGGTCGAAACATTTAGACTTTCAAAATGTTTTGACTAGCCTCATTTTGTTTCGAGGCTGTTTCAACACCCTGTTTCATTTCAATTGTGCTGTTTTGACCTCAGAATGAGTTGAAACAGTGTCGAAACGAAATGGCCGACAAAATTTCACACAGCCCTACCTAGCATATTAGTAAAACTTCTAATAAATTGGAGACAAATATGCATTGTGTTATATGATGATGAACCGTACCACCTGCACCACCACCCCCCTTGCAAAATCCTACATCCACCCATGGGTTGGCCAGTACCATTCTCATCACCCTACTTGAACTTGGAAAGTGTTTTAGGTTCAGTAGCAGGGATGGGAATAGAATGCAGAACTCCTGACTGTCTGTCTAATGCCTTATTTGCTGGGCTACGTAAGCTCCCATTCTACCAAAGTGTCCTAGTTCTGACTGCCTGAGTCTCAATTTTATTTCCTTAAAGAGAGAGAGCAATCTAGTTGTGAAATATGTTCAGAGTACTTGATGCATTGTTCTGGCATAGATTCAAGAACAGGTTAGATTGGATGGCAGAGGAAATTAAGACAGCAACCACTGCAAACTACATGAAGACAGGCAGTTTTTCTTGCCTTATTACTGATATCTAGGACTTTAAATTGCCAGTAATACAGATATCGCAGCAGTGTAATACCTTAGGTTCGTAGAAGAATAGATTCATTGCCTAAATACTTCTGTTTTATCAGTACTTCTACCAACTTATTGTATGTGCAGAAATTTCAGCCACATAGAAAGTGAAAGCAAAAAAAAAAAGTCACAGAAATAAGTAATTCAAATCTAGGATGAAAGATAATATTAGAGTGGTTTACTGAAAGGAACCCATTTTTAAACTACTTCTATGTCAAAGTTTCAGTGCCTTGATTTTTCATCACAAGAGAAACAAGACACATCATTTAAAAAGGAATAGACAGAATGTTTTCAAGACCTTGAATTGGGTGGCAGTATTTGTCTAAAACATCATCCCCTGCAACTGCTAATACCTGCTGGCAAGTGGCTTAAAAAAAAAAGACAGAGACAGGAAGAAAGAAAGAAAGAAAAAGAAAAATAATAGGCATACAAGTGTAGATAGTTCATTACTTCATCCAGATTTAAGGAAGGTAGAAGTTAACTTCTAACAAAATACGGGCTAAGC